AGGACTTTCTCTAAATCAAAGGGGAGGGGGTTCTCCAGGAGGACTTTCTCTAGATCAAAGGGGAGGGGGGTCTCCAGGAGGACTTTCTCTAGATCAAAGGGGAGGGGGTTCTCCAGCAGGATGGTCTCAAGGCCAAAGGGGAAGATTCTTTGCAACCAGGATGCTGTGTGCAAGCCTGTACATGATGCACACATACCCAGAACCTGCATGGTCCCTGAACTAGTCTAGCAGCAGCACAAAGGGAGAGGGCAGGACATTCTAGAACTTCCTCCCTAGAGTTTCGGTTGTCAGTGCTCTCATTTCAGGGGTGCTATGGGTGGAGGAGAGCTGTGAGGAGCCCCCAGCAGGCTTTTGGGTCAGGGACAGTGGAGGTGGTGGGCGGGAGGCCCAAGAGCATGAGGCCCTCACCTAAGAAAGAGAAGAACAACTTGGGGATGGAGTCAGTACCCAGAGAGACTCAGGGCTCAAAGGACACGCACAGTTGCTTTGCTGCATGTGTAACTATGTGTGAATGTGTACACACCGTAGCAGGCTCGGGTCAGGGGCCCTGAAAGCAAAGATTCCCAAAGGAACAAGTTAGCATCCCAATTCCCAGCGGGGCCCACTAAGCCTGGCACTCAGCTCTGGCCCCCATCCCATCTTCACCTGCCACACAAATCCCAAACCATTGAGGGTGCTCCACACGGGGGCAACCTGGCTTTTGCTTGCTGGAGGAACCAAGAGCCAAGAGTTTCCCCCACACGCAGATCCACAAATACACACAGACCCATGTCCTGTGTCCTGAGGGCTTCCGCCTAGTCAGCACTGCCTGGGCTCCTTGCAGGCGGCTCTCCTCTACATAGTCCCAGGCCTCGCTGATCAATGCTGCGTCCTGCTGGCTGGTCCAGCTGAGTCCTAGTGCAGGAGTCTCCAGCTCTGACCCGGAGAGAGGGCACAGGCTGGGGTTTGGGGGCACTGCTGAGCTCACTAGTGGAGTGCTTCCTGGGGGCGGTGTCCGCTGATAGAAGCCTCTGGCCTCCTGAGCTGGCAGAGGATGGAGCAGGGAAGCAAAGAAGAGGTCCAGGAGTGGAGGCCGGTGAGGGGCGTCTCATGGCCTGGAGGTCACAGCCTGGAGCAGGGAGAGAAGAGAGTGGAGAAAGGGACACTGATGAGACAAAGCCATTCGCTGTGAATATGCAGAGAATCCTGGGAGGGCCAGGATGTGTGGAGGAAGAGGAACTGCCCTGTCCTTCACGGGGTAGGTGGGAGGGACTTTTTTCCTGAGGTCCTACTACTGTGCTGGGCTCTGAGAAAGCACCACATCACCCTCGTGTAACCCAAGAGCAGACTGCAAGACAAGCATGGTCGTTGTACCCTCTGATGGATGAGAGAGCTTAGGCTCAGAGAGGCTGAGCGGCTGGCCCAAGGACACACAATCGGGAAACAGTAGGGTCTTCACATTTCACCCTGTCTGCCACATGGCCTCTGGACTATGGATGGTCATCCAAGGTGTGGGCCCGGCTGAGACAGTGTGATGCTGGAACACAAGACTACACATCACATGGAACTGGGGACCTGCTCACATACACAGAGAACCGCTGCTCTGTTACTTAGCACCATAGTGGAGGGGTCAAGATTGCAGTTTGGGAGGCTAGGCCAACAAGGGCTCCAAAACCTGCTCGGTTCCTAGCTGTGTGACCTCAGGAAATGTGCTCAACCTCTCTATTTTTCATCGGTACAACAAAGTGATGACCCCTGCCTCAGGAGTACAGGGTAATGGTGATCTAGATCACTGCTGTCCAACAGAAAGACAAGTTTGCATCTCTAGGTTTTATCATAGTCATTTTAAAAAGTAAAAAGAAACAAACAAGATACTTTAAAGTTATTTTTACTTTACTAATAGTTAAATAATAATAGTTCTTTCATTTAATCTATGTAAAAGATTATCATTTCAATACGCAATCAATAGAAAAAGTTCCATTTGTTAAACAGCACAGGTGGTGCATTGAATTACATTACATGTCTTTATATTAAGTCTTTGACATCGGATGTAGATTTTACATCTCAGTTTCCACTCCTCACACACAGTTCAAGTGTTTACCAGCCACATGTGGCCGGCCTGGTGGCTTCCAGCACAGGTCTAGAATCTCACTTTGGAGTTGGCTGACAATGCAGGTTCTGGGCCCACCCAGACCTGCAGGATGAGAGTGTGCATTTTATAAATTCCCTGGTGATTTGCAGGCATGTTAATTTTTGAAATGCATGACCTAGAACATGGGTGCCCCAGTGCACCCTGCCCTGTGGTAGGTTCTAGACATCCAAACACACCCATCCGAGTCAAGCTCCAGGACTAAGGTTGCATTTCCAGGTAGTGGCTTGCTCCCTGGGAACATGTTGGCTGCAGCTGAGATCTTGGGTCCACTTGTGTTGTAGGACCGCTCTGCCTTGTGGCGGACTGAGGCTGCTACAGTGTACTGAGCACCTACTACAAGCGAGGTACCGTACCAAGCACTGAAACACATGCCCTGATAGACTCCTCAGTGAACTTCTGCTGGGGGAGGTTTGTTGACCTCTGCTTTCAGAAGATGAAACTGCAGCTCAGAGAGGCCAAGTGACATGTCCAAGAACACACAGCTACAAAGCAGTAGGATGAGAATTTCATTCCACATATGTCTGACTATGAAGTGTGTGTTCTTCCTAACTGGCCTGGGGAAAGGATGCCCAGGAGGCAAGCAGGGCCCTACCCTCCAGGCTTGACACATTCAATGCCAGGGTAAGGACTGTATGGGGGGCTTCCCTATGTCCAGTCCTGGGGTACTCACTCTACAGACACCCCCTGAATAACTTCATGAAGTTCCAGGGAACAGTAAGAAACTGCCATGGTACACCTGTACACACAGGTGGGGTGGTGGTGGTTCAGCGGTTCAGGTGTATGCACCAGTGCTGGCATCTCTATGTGTAGGCATACAGTGGTGGGTGGGCACATCAGTGCCAGTGTGTGCATATGTGTATGTCTGAGTGTATTCATGTATCACACAATGTGATTGTGTGTCCCTGTGCATATATGTGCCAGAGTGTGTCTGCCTGTGTGTGAACATACATGTGTGTGTTCAGGTGCTGTTGCTGTGCACACATACTCCGTCTGGTTCTGAGCTTGCCTGGCAGAGCAGTGGGGAGGAGGGGTCCTTCGGCAGCCTCCTCTAGGCCTGTGTTGCTCTCACATACTGGGGAGAAGAGTGGTTGAAGCCACAGCACTGGATGGGCTGCTGAGCTTGAGGACTGTGGCATGGAGCTTCTGAAGGAGGAAGCCAGAGAGCCACTCAGTGTGAGACGGGGCACCTCTACCCTACACTTGTCTGTACGCACTGGAGGTTGCTGGATGCTGAGGGCTGCCAGGTTTGGGGGCAGGCTTCTGGCTCACGGGCGGACTTGCTGAAAGCCCCCTTGGACACGTCTCCTGGGTACCTGACAAATGGGCCTTGATGGGTTCATGAAACCACTGGCTGTGTGATGCTCAGACTCACTGAGACATCGACTTCATCATCAAGAGAGAGGCAGTGAGCAGAAACCCGGTAGGGAAGGTGGTGGGGCTGGGGGCAGGACAGTGAGGAGGGAGGCGGAGGGCGAAAACCTACTCTGCAGATTTCCAGAAATGTCCAGGGTGAGACAGGCGGCGGTTTCGCTTTGGCAGTCTCTCCAACATGTCCATGAGCTTGGTGAAGGTAGGTCTCTCTTCTTGTTCAAAGGCCCAGCAGAAGAGAAGAATGTCCTACAAGGAACCAACATGCAGTGATGGCACATAAATGGAGACTTCCTGAATTATTTCTGGGTGCTTTGCTGGATCTTTCGGTTTGTCCATCCATCTGCTCTCCCTCAATGTTCCTCCATCCATCACCTAGAACCGAGCTTTCTCTGCACCCATCTATCCAGCCCTTTATCCACCCCTCCTTCTACCCATCTACTTTCTGAGTTCATATAACAAACTAGAGAGAATCTATGCTTGACATACTGGGATACACTGGGATCAATCATGCTCCTCAAGAAAGTTCTTGGCATTTTTCTGAAAAAGGAGGGAGCAAAGGGAATCCTGGGATTTCCATCCACACCCCAATAATACAGGTGGCATTCAAAGTCACATAAGAGAAATGTTACCTATAGTAGTCTTCTGACCTGAGAAAGAACATGTTTGTAATTACAAACATAGGGACAGCTCATTACTCCCTTCCCAAATGACAGGTCTTTTGATCAAAAGACCTGTGTTGATTCTTCCTGCTTAGTTTTAGAAAAAGACATTCAGACTTTTCTGTCTGTGTATATCTTGAATGGCTTGAAAAGTTTTATGTTGTGTCAAATAAAATTAGAATCAGTAATACTTACAATATTATAGTGAGTATATTAGAAAAGAAACTAGAAAAAAGAAGGGGATTGCTTGGTTGTATTTCCAGGACAAACCTGGCCAAGCGTTACTGCACCCTGGTGGCACGCGCCTGAATTGCAGGCATAGGCAGATGCCTGGCCTTGTAAGCCGCACACCGTGTGCTGACAAGGCAATTGTGCATGCTTTTTTGCCATTCTCTGGAAAAGCATTTATAATCTTAACACGCAAAACAAGACGGTCCAAGATTGTATCAGCGTCTCCCCTCACACCTCTCTCCCCTATCCAAATCTGGTCCTATCTGGTCCATGACTTACCGAGATTTCTTTTCCCATGCCAATCTGGCTGAGGTTGGGTTTCATGCCTGTTCCCATCTGCCAGATTATTGCCTCTGCTGGTTGGCTCTTGAAAGGCCACTCTCTGGCATGGAGTTCGTACCAGATTGTGCTGTTGAAAGATATTGTTCAAAGGATATTGGTGTGATGTGTTACTTGAAACCTGGTAACCCTAACCAACACACACATACACAGGGGCATCCAACACATAGTTCCTTCCTTATAGAGTTGGTGCTTTGCCACCGGGGACACACTGAAAGCTTTCTGGATGTCCTAGAGGTCACACTTCTCTCAGAATCTCTCTTTGGTACCTGAAAGAAACTGATTCAAAAGTCCAAACCTGGATAGCAGCTAGCATCTCTACCTCTATAGTCTTAATTCTAGAAACAATTGTAACTAAAGAATCAGGGATGTTAACAGAAACCCATGTACAAAGATACTCTCGACAGCAGTACATGGACAAACATGAAAACAATGTAAGTGCTCAACACCAGGAGTTCATTGTAGACCTTATGGTAAATCCATAGAATGAAATGAAATACTTCAGAGCTATTAAAATATTTCAAAGAAATTTTACTATCCGATAAGAAAACTATACTCTATTTAGAGTTTTAAGTAAAAAAAAAAAAAGCAGGACACAAGATTGTATATAGGGTCCAAGGCTCCTCTTTTATACATGTGTCAAGAGAATAAAAGAGAAACACAATAAAATGTTCACAATGGCTAATTCTGTAGGATAGGTTTACACATATGATTTTTTTTTTTTAACACAGTTTAGCAAATGGAACTGTAAGAGCCTTTTAATTAACAGTATGTAGTGGGGGCTTCCAGTTACTATGGCTCCTTACCATAATACACTATGGTGTCTGATATACACACACCAGAACAGCCCCTGGATAAAAAGGACTTGAGAAACTAAGTAAAGTGGATACAAAACCCACCTTGGATCACAGAACACCCATAATCAACACTCATGGAAGCAGCAGTCAAAAACTCAAATTATGTATTGCATTTGGCAAATCTGCTGTGCAAGACCTCTTTAAAGTGTTCAAGAGCAAAGGTATCGGTTTGAGGACTAAGGTGTGCCTGACCCTAGCCATGGTATTTTCAATAGCCTCATATGCATGTGAAAGTTGGACAATGAATAAGGAAGACCATAGAATTGATGCGTTTGAATTATGGCACTGGAGAAGAATATTAAAAGTACCACAGACTTCTAGAAGAACAAACAAATACATCTTGGAACAAGTGTAGCTAGAATGTTCCTTGGACTACAATATGGTGAGAGTCTGTCTCTCATAATTCAGGCACGTTATCTAGAGGAACCGGTCCCTGGAGAAGGACATCATGCTTTGTAAAATGAAGGTCAACCCAAAAGAGGAAGACCACCGTGAAGAGGTAGACTGCAATAACGGGCTCATAAGGAACAGTTGCGAAGAGGCAAGGGACCAGGTTGTGTTGGGTTCTGTTTTGTACAGGGTTGCTATCCGTCAGGACCAACTTGACAGCGCTTAAGGACAGCACCAGCAACTCAAAATCCTTTATAACAGACAAAAAAGCTATTAGTCTCTCCCCATTGAAAGCACAGAAGAGTGAAGGAATTTTAAAATGCAAGGAAACAATGAATCCACAGGGCTGCCATACCGCATGAACCCTCACCTTTATGAGGGTAAGCAGACGAATTTGATGGTGCCCGGGTGCTACTGACTCCTCTAAAAGGGACCACACTAAGAGATGCTGCAGAGAGTGGGAGAAAAATGTGCAACAAAACTAAAGCGCATAAAAAAGACCAGACTTAGTGGTCTGATAAAGACTAGTGAAACCCCCAAAACTGTGGCCCTTTGACACCCTTCCAAAGCCTAGAAATGAACACAGGACAGGTCTCTAGGGCGAACACACCACCAGGAGGTGCATGTTCATGAGGACAACCAAGCATATGACATCAGAAGTGCAGCATATACCCAGGGAGAATGTTCCAAAGGCAGGGAGGGACAAGAAAAAGGAGAAAGGGACATGGTAAACACTGGAAGGAGGGAGGGTAGGGCCACACTGTGGGTATTGCAAAGGAGGTCACAAAACAAAATGTACAAGAAGGGTTAATGAAAACCCAACTTGCTCTGCAAATTTTTACCCAAATTACAATTTTAAAAAAAAGGAGTCATCTAGGGCATTATATAATGATTAAAAAGGATCACTCTATGAAGCGGAGATAACTATAACAAGTTCTAAAATACAGAAAACAAACTCTAACAGAAATGAAAAGAAAAATACAATAATAACAGGAGACGGTACTATGACACTTTCAATGATAAACAGAACATCTCAGAAGATACTCAACAAAGATACAAACCTAAACAACACAATCAATCAACCAACCGCACCTACACAAAACACACTACCCAAGAGCAACACAACACACATTACTCTCCAATGCACATTCTTCAGAACAAGAAAGACTTCAGTCCATAAAGTAAGCCTCAATAAATAAAAAAAAATTAAAATACTACGCATCTTCTATGGTCAGACATTATAAAAGGAGAGACCAGTAACAGGAAGAGTTAGAAAAAATTGAATATATGGAAACTGAATATCATTTTATTTCAAAACTACTGGGTTAAAGAAGAAATTAAAAATAAAATTAAAAAAATTTTAGGATCAAATGAGAATGAAAACATAATATACCAAAAGCTTTGGGCCCAGCAAAAGCAGTGTTCAGAGGAGAATTTATAGCAATTCATGTACTCATCAAAAAAGGAAGAAGGGGCCCAAGCCAAGAGCTCCAGCCTACAATTTAAATAGGAAGGGAGAAACAAAAGAAGCCCACCGTCACCAGAAGGAAGGAAATAAAAAAGGTCTGATAAGAAAGAAATGAAAGAGCAAACAGAAAAATAACAGATAGAATCAACAAGACTAAAAGTCTTAGTTCTTTGAGACGATCAATAAATTTTAAAAACTACTGGTCAATTGAGAAAGGAAAAAAATGAGAAGATGCAAATAAGCAAGATAAAGAGAGCGATAGGGACATTACAACAGAACTGAGATTTTAAAAAAGTCATAACACTATTATGAGAATTGATACTCTAACAAAAATGACAAACTAGAAGAAATGAACAGGCTTGGAGAACACACTACGTACCCAAGCTAAACAAAGACAGGCAGGAAACCTAATTAGACCATTAACAAAACAAGACACCGATGATGTCATAATAAAAACTTCCAACAACAAAAAATCCCCAACCCAAATGACATCACAGGAGACTTGTTCTAAACAGTCAGAGAACAGTTGACACTTAAAGTATTCCTGAACATAGATGAGGAAGGAATCAGGCTGCATTCATTCTATGACGCCAGCATAACCCTCATATCAAAGCCGGGAAAGGATCTGACAACACACATAATCACAGAACAACATCCTTCATGACTGGAGTCCTGGTGTGGCGCTGATTTATGGTTTTATTATTATTACTCCCATTTTACAGATGAGTAAACTGAGGCTCAGGGAGGTTACTTAGCTTTCCACAGTCACATAAGTGGATCAATGGTGCGGCAGGAAGTTGAAGCCCACCTGACTGACTCTAGAATTGTGCCATTGGCCATTATATGACACACTGAAAGGCAGAGATGCCACTGTATCCCAGAGTCCTCGGTAATCAGGACAGCAAACAGGCTGGGTGCAACCCCGTAGTTGGGTGGCACTTGGTGAAGGAGGCAGAGGTGCTGCTCACACGGGAGAGGGATGGGGGTCTCCCTGTGTTCTGCTGTGTGCGGTGGGGAGTGGGGGTGGGTGGGTAGGGGCAGGGGACTTTACAGATGTGTTCCCACATCCATGGGGCTCATTACTTTTGATTCATTATCCTCAGTTTACTCTCAAGGAAAGTAGGTCTTTAGGTGAAAGAACTCACAAGCCCACTGGAACTCAGTGGCTGAAAGTTCTAATTCTGGAGTTAGGACATCCATCATCACAGGTTCGAAGCCCAGCTCCTCCACTAAATGCCGCTTGGCAAGTCACCACTGAGGTCTTCTGAGCCTCAGTTTCCACACCTGTCAATTGGGAACCCTGTTCTGAAGGGTACTTCTGAAGAGCCAACAAGCAAATACAGAAGTAAAAGCTTCACATAGTACTCAAGCACTTTTGAGAGTTCATTTGTGTTCTAAGTCATGTGGGGGCCCCAGGTTCCCAAGCAACAAGATGCACCTAATTGGCAGGAAACCAAGAGCACCAGGACCCTCGGGCTCAGCAGGGTCAGAAATAAAGGCTCATTAAAACTTCCTTTCAAACTCAACTTTCAAGAGAAACTCACTTAGGAAAAAAAAATTGCTAAAGATGAAAACGCCAGTGGAAAACCAATTACTTAGATTGGTACATTCAGTTAATTACATTTTTTTTTCCTTTTGCTAAATTTATACTAAAATATATCTGAGTTAATGATTGCAATTTGGTTTCAGATAACAATATCTAACTAGATAAAGGCTTGGGCATAAACTAATCAGGGCAAATGACAGCCTTGAAAGGGACCTGAGTTACAGAGCTGATAACGTTCCCCAAGAGATTTACAGTGCGGATGCCGGGGGCGGAGAATAGGGAAGAAGGGAGGTATCTCCCTAGACGATGTTCTAACATGTCTCTGTAGTGTTAAGTCTAATTGCACATATCTGTGGGCCTTGCATCTTTCCCAGGCACCTTCCCCCATGTTATCGCCCCCAGTCCTCACAGCCATCCCATGGGCAAAGGTAAGGCAGGGATGGCTGTGGCTGTTTGCTGCCTTCAAGTTGGCTCCAACTTACGGTGACTACACACACACTGGAACAAAGCACCGGCTGGTCCTATGCCATCCCCACGACCAGATGTGGGTCAGACCACTGTGATCCACAGGGTTTTCATGGGCTGCTTTTCAGAAGTAGATCACCAGGATTTTCTTCCTAGTTCACTGTAATCTGAAAACTCTGCTAAGACCTGTATTGGTTGGAAGTTGAACCCAGATCTCCTGCATGGAAGGTGAACCACTGAACCATCACTGCCTCATGTGGTTGTGAAAGCCTCAGATCTCTCAGCCCTGCAACTGTGGGCTGCGTACTGGGCCCTCTTCTCCCCTACACACACTTCCAGAGAGGGCCGGTTCACTCTGTTACCATCTACTGGCTGACAAGTTCTAAGCATCCCTTTTCCCAAAATCTACATGTGTAGATCCAGCTGCCATCACATGGATTCCAATGGTGATCTGTCTACAAAGTAACCTCAAACGCACTGTGTCCAAATGACAACTCTGTCATTTTGTGCGTGTCCCAACCCTGTCCCACATCTCCAGAATTTCTACCATGGAGAGTGACCCCATCCTTCACCCAGACACTTAGGGTAAAAATGGGGGTACCATGCACATTCAATCCACCATCAAGTCCTCCCACCCCCTACACAGGCAGAAGGCAGTCCAAGTGGTCAGCACCTCCCCCTGGACTATGTCTCATGGCTCCAATCTTATCCTCTTCCAATGTCTTGTCTACTCAGCAGCCAGCAAGAGTCTTCTATTGAAAAATCATCAATAGCTCTCAGGGATCTTCAAGGTCAAGTGCAAATGCCTTCGCTTAGCTCCTATGTCTCAGCAGGAGCGGTCTGGCTTTCTTCTCCAGTCACTCACTGCACACCCCAGCCTCATTTTCTTTCTAGCTCTCCATCCATCAGATCCCTGGCACCAAACCCCTTATGAGCAGGGAACGTATTGCATCTTACATAGTACTTCTATCAGGAACACTGCCCCTTAATTTTACCTGGCTTATTTCAACCTTTAGCTTCAGCTCAGGATGCACTTATCCTTGAAGCCCTCCTTGGCCATCCAAGTGGGATGGGATTCCTTCTCTGTTCCCATAGTCCTACAATTGTCCCCAGAGGCACTTGTCTGTCTTCCACTAGTCAAGATAAGAGTATGGACTTGTGGTGGTTTAAAAAGTTTGTCTACAAATTCTTTGATACTCCATGTGAAAGGCTGAGCTAAAGTTGCCTCCCTTTAGTGAGGGCTGGAATTAAAGATTTGCTTCTAACACATAGAACATGGTGGAAGCTGTTGTTATTGTGAAAAGCCATCAAGTGGTTTCAACTCATAGTGACCTGGTTTTTTAGGGTTTCCAAGGAGCGGCTGGTGGGTTTGAACCGCCAACCTGTGATAAGCAATCCAGTGCTTATCTTTCAGCATCACAGTGGAAATGACGATATGTAATTTCTGAGACTAGGTCTTAAGAGACAGTGCGGTATCAATCTTGTTGTGTCTCAGACCACTGATTCTGAGGGACATTGGCCACCATAGTCTGAGGTCCCCCAAGCAGCCTGTGAAGGGCCCATGCAGTGAGGAGCTGAGGGAGCCCCCAGATGGTGCAGTCCAGACTCACATCCTGACGACCATCTCATGAGACCCTGAAACCCGAGGTAGGCCACTCACAAATTCTGACCCCAGGAGCGTGAGATGAGACATGTTTGTTTACTAATCAAGCTGCTGTACAGCAGTAGACAATGGGTAAAGTGCCACATCCTGCAGCCCTGGCATCTAGGACACTGAAGACCCGCAGCAAGTATCTATGGCAGGAACGCACACATGAATGAATGAATTAATGAATGGGACTGGCTACTTGTCCTGGTCACAAACCTGGCAGGAAATTTACTGGAGTTACTCCTTCCATTCTAACCCTCTCAGAGCCCCTGGTCTCACCAGAAATCCCATCACCTTCTCCATAGACAGGTGCTCTGTCCCTCCCAAAAGCACTGAAAGAAGGCTTGGCACATGCCCCTCTGCCCCAGGCTGCAGTGGGAGATGGACAAGGATAGGCGGGGCCCACCTACCCAAACGCAAAGACGTCTGAGTGCTTCGAGAAGGGGAGCTTGTCCTCTTCCGTGTCAGGCGACAGCTGGCGGATGATCTCCGGTGCTAGGTGGCAAAGCCAGCCATTCTGGATGCGTAGCTTGTCCTCACGCCTGGAGAAGTGAAACACAGGCTAAACAAGTCCAACCCCCCCTCACAACCGGGACTGGCCAGCCCCCGACCCTGACACCAATCACCAGGAACACCTCCACTAGCTTTCTGCCTGACCCTCGCTTTGAGGCCCAGAACCAAGAAGGGCAGAGGAAGCTGGTCTGGGGAGACATTCAGGATCCAAATCATGATCCAGTCTCCTACACGTTCAGTCATCAAGTACGCCTTGGGCCCTGCCGTGTCTGGCCTCAGTACTGGGGAGGCAGCTGTGAGCATGACCCAAGGTCCTGCCATTGGAAGACTTGTACTTTATGGAGACAAGACATGAATGACATGAATAGCAAACACTTACACAGTGATATTATCAGAATGGAACTAGGGAAATGTGTCAGATACTGATGTTACTTCAGGTAACATCTGAGCTAAAGAATCTACCCATGTGAACAACGTGGACAAGAATATCATAGGCAGAGGAATACAAGAGCAAGAATAAAGAAAAAAGCTAGAATAGAAAAAAACCTACTGAAGGCTGGTGTAATTAGAACCCCATGCTATTTTGTTATTGTTGGTTTCCAAGGAGTGGCTGCCGAGTTTGAACCGCCAACTCTGCCGTTCACACTGACCTTACGGTCAAATGCTTAGGTCTCTATTAAAACGTGCACAGCCATTCCCCAATGATGAACATCAGCAACGTCACCTTCCCACCATTATAAATAAGCAACGCTGCAATGGGCATCTTGGAGTGCATCCTGGGGACTGATGCCTTCACCCACATGTGTAGTCACACTCTTGAAGGAGGAAGGACATAGACCCCCCCCCCCTTCACACTGCTGGCTTTCCACTTGGGACTGAAATCTGAGAGCTGCTCCCATGACACCTTCACTGGTTCAGGACTCCACTAGGAAAAGGGCAGTGCAGGCAGCTGAGGAGTGAGGGCAGAGATCTGGAACCACCAAGGGTAAGGACACAAAGAACCACAGCCTTGAGTATGCTGGTCCCGTGACCACCTCAGGCTGACCAGACTCCCTGGTTCTTCCAAGTGTATGGTTGGGTGTGTACCAGGCGCTGTGCGTCAACTGCATTCACAACATTCATATGTTTTCCTGCTTCTAGAATCCGAGAGACCCACAGGGTTTAAGAACCATTCTGCTGCTTTCCAGCTGTGTAACCTTGAGCAGCGGGCCGGGTCTCTGTTTTCTCATCCAGTCAGACCCCGTCATCATGATTTGTCCCACATCGGTGCTCCTTCTAGGTCAGCAGACCCTCTGTGCTGTGTCTGCGCTCTTCAATGTGACTTTGAACCTGTATACTGAGGAACTGAGCTTCCCAGGGCATTTACTCTGAAACTAATTAAAGCTAAATTTCAACAACCACCTGTGGCTACTGGCCAGTATACTGGACAACACAGTTGTAGAAGAGATTTTTTTTTTTTTAAATATATGCATATATATATATATATATAATTTTTTTAACTTAAATATATTTTAAAAGGCCTCTTAAAAAATATTAAAAATACGCCCATAAATGCATACTAACACTTTTCTAACATACATTAAAATGAAAAGGAAAAATGTTTGCTCAGGTCCTTCCTAAAATCATAGGGTGAGTGAAGACAGGAGGCTGGGTGAGAGTCTAGGTGTGTGGAATCGTGGGATCCAGGACGACATTCATGTTCCCTACCTGGTGTTTCTGAATTCTTAGGATGCACACAGTATGTGACAGTCAGGAGCAGCCTGATAATCCATGCAATCGTTGTGTGAAGAACAAATTAACGTGCCCATTTGGCAGATGGAAACACAGGGCCCTCGGTTAATCCACCACGTGGCTCACCAAGATGCCCTTCTTTTCCCTTCACTTCACACAAGAGTCACGTTCACATGGATGTACCCAAAATTTGGCAGTTCCCAAACAGGAAGTGTGGGAAAAGCATCATGGCTGGGTGCTAGCTGCGACCCCCTCAGCTCTCCCTGGGGCTCTGAAGGGGGTTCCGGTCCTGTTTGACAGGTACTATCCATCTACTTCCATACGCCTGCTCCAGAGCAGACTGGAGCGTATGTGAGGGAAAGCAACGTGGGCCGGGGATACCATTACATTTGTTGTAACTTAGTAGAGCAGCCCAGCTTTGGTGCCATTGCCATTCCTGGCTGGTTGATTCTTTGTGACTAAGGCTGGCCTGGGCACTACCCCTGGTTTCCACTCACTAGATGCCAGTATCACCACCCCTTCCCCTACCTGCCAAAAAGGGTTCTGATGTCCCCTTGGGGGCAGAATTGTTCCTGGTTGAGAACTGCAGCTCTGATGCATATAAAGTAAGGACACGGTCCCCTGAGTGTGTTAGCAGTCAGGACATGGGGCCTGCTGTCGGGGAGGCTGGTGGAACACTTGTGTCTACACAGCAGGCTGACCAGAGAACACACCTGCTCGGCCCATTTGTTAGGAGTCACATGAGTCCTTGCTTTTTGAGAATCAGGGAGACGAGCAGTTTTAAGGCCCAATCTACTGCTCATAGGTTGATACATCTGAGTCTTTGTTTTCCCATCTGCAAAATGAGCATATTAACTTGCACGTCCCAGCGCTGTTACAAGGATTCACAAGGAGCAGTGCACACAGAACTGTGAGTCATGATTATCGGCCATAATTATCACATATGTAGATTCATCCTATAGACTCTGAAATGGAGACTGGAGTCCAAAGTTAGAAGATCCTCCGAAGAAGACGGCTTTAGCATGGGCCAACCACCACAGCATCTAGGGTGGGGGATTGCTGCTGCCAAAAGGCCCAGTGCCCACTTCCATCCCCTTCCAAATGTCCAGGCCACCACACCTCTGACCCCGATACCTGGGGTCGGGTGGGCAGGGAGGCAGCGCGTGGCCACACCCACCCATCTGTGTGTAGGCCCAGGAGCTAGGCCTGGAACAGACACCCTGGGGTGTCCCGTTCCCATGGCAATGGGCCCACCGGTGACAATCTCCAATCATCCTCATTATGGTTATTATTATCGTTAATAACAGTCTGCAGGCGGCTGGCACGTTGGTGCTGGCATCTTAAATGACACCTTTTGTTGACAGTGGTGTAACAGCTGTAGGCTGGCAATGCCTAATGTGCTCCCATGAAAACCCTGGGGTCTGATCAGACATGCTCGTTCTGCTGGGTGACCCCCAGCCCACACCCTGCCCGGCCAGGTCAGGTCCCACTGTGCACCCAGGGGTCCATCTGAGGGGAGCCATGCTGTTCATCCACGTGACCCTCACAGTCCCCCAGCCTCCCACACATGCACCACATACCCACTGCCACGAGCTGATGCCAACACATAACAGGTTCAAACTCACATGCCCAAGTCAGAGTGACAGAGCTCAGACCTGCTTGATACCAAGTCCTTCAAAGCCCCAAGACTAGATTCCTAACTGTAATCCTACAAGAATCCCGGTAGATGTGGACCCACAGGGAGCAAGCTCCTAAACCCCATTCATCTCTGCCCCATTTATTCTTCACAACATCCCTATGATGTAGGCACTATTCCCTACCCCATTTTACAGGTGAGAAAACTGAGGCTCAAGGAGTCAAATGTGTTTAACAATAGCAGGGTTCTGTGATCCACCCTGCAGGAAGCACTCACTGAGTATTAGTTGACTGGCCCAGTGACTGACTGACTGACTGACTGACTGAATGAATGAATGAATAAACGTGGAAACTCACAGTCCCCATCTCGTGAGAAATGATTGGTTCTGCTTCCTGCAATGTCTGCATCGGGGACTGTAACCCAGTCCAAAATGCTATCAATTGGGCTCATTGCTGCTCCACGTTGGGGGTGTCTGGGGTCTCCAGCTGCTGTGTTGGGTGCACCCATCTGCACTTTGGGCTGACTGTTTACAAAGAAGATGCAGTAAGCCGTGACCTGGAGCTCTGTGAAGGGTCCTGTGGGATCTCTGTGCTGCTCTTGAAGTAAATATGGAGGCATCTACTAAATGGGAAAGGTCCTGTGTCTCACAGGGCATCCCAAGTTCTGCCTACCTGTCATGGTCCCCAGAGTGGCTATAGGGCTGTGGGAGATGAAAGATGGTCCCTCCTCTCATCGAGAGGAGACGTCTAAGTCACCTCCACTTGAATCTGTGTTGGCTTTAGTGACCTGCTTGGTCAACTGCATGTGGTGAGAAGGGTGTTCTAGGACGTTTGACACTAAGTCACATGAGGGCTCGTTCCACCTGATCTTGTGAATGCTTGCTCTGGGAGAAGTCAGCTGCTATATAAGAAGTTGGATTACCTTGGGTCAACATGCTGTAAGAAAGCTCAGTCTAGTCACGTGGCCAGGCTGCACAAAGAGAGCGGACAAGAGAGAGGGAGGGGGACTCCTGGTCAGTCCTCCGCTCTTCCAGCCTTCCAGCTTACATGTGAGGATGCCTTCGGCTGATTCCACCTCAGCCACCATCTCACTGCATACCCATGAGACAACCCGAACCTCGTCAACCCCCAGAATCATGGAAGATAATGATAATGTGTTGAGCTAAGCCAATAGGGCCGGGGCATTTTGTTACACAGCAAAAGTAAATGGACCAGGAATGAAAACATCACTGATGGTGACTTGTTGGCTGCTGGGCGTCGTGGCTGAGTCTCTGGCCTCTCTTGACAATAACTGGGATGTGCTGACAATCAGGCTGGGGCAGGGATGGTGTTGTCTGGGAGATAAGACCAGAGTCACCTTGTCTTCAATTTAGGTGAACTTCCTTCCTGGTTGAATACTAGGCTTCTGTGGATGAGCCAAAGGTTGTTGTTGTTGTTAGGTGCCATCGAGTCGGTACCGACTCATAGCGACCTTACGCACAGCAGAATGAAACACTGCCCAATCCTGGGCCAACCTCACTACTGTTGCCACGCTTGAGTCCATCGATGCTGCCACTTGGCCAATCCATCTCATTGGGGGGCTTCCTCTTTTTCTCTGACCCTCCACCTTACCAAACATGATATCCTTCTCCAGCGACTGGTCCCTCCTGACAATATGTCCGAAGTATGAGAGATGAAGTTTGGCCATCTTGGCCTCCAAGGAGCACTCTGGCTGCACTTCTTCCAAAACGGATCTATTGGTTCTTTTGGCAGCCCATGGCACTTTCAATATTCTCCTCCAACACTATAACTCAAAAGCATCAATTCATCTACGGTCTTCCTTAGTCACTGTCCAGCTTTCGCATGCATATGAGGTTACTGAAAATACCATGGCTTGGATCAGGCGCACCTTAATCCTCAAGCTGACCCCTTTGCTCTTCAACAATAGGCAAATCTGCTGCACAAGACCTTTTTAAAGTGCTAAAGAGCAAAGAGCCAAAGGTAAGGATACCCAAATCTTCCTTCACTCTGTGGTTTTAGAAAACCAAGCACCTAAAGAAAGGAAATATGAGGCTCTGGCTCTTCTACTCCACTTGGAGACAAGGAGGAAGGGAAGAGTATGGACAATTCACCAGGAGAGAGCTCTGAACCAGGTTAAAGAAAATACCTGTGAGCTTCCGTGGTCTTGATCTGAAAACGTGGGTTCAGGAGTGATGCTACCAACTGCATCCCCAGGGCCCTGGGATATAGTAATGTGCAACCCTCCCTACAAATCCTGAGCAGTCCAGGAAGTAAGTGTGCATCCTGGCTCCTTGGGACACGCCTCTCCCAGGCTTACTGATCTATGTTTCCTGCCTGATTCCTGTTCTCAGTTTGGGTGTCGGGGAAATTTTGTTAGGCGGTGTGAATTCTGTATGGATGGAGTAAAATCTGTAAAAGAAATGCAAGTTTCTGTTTGTTATTGCATCTTCCAGATGGAGTTTTGCCAAATACTGGATGATTTGACTTAGATACAAGATATTATATGACATGAACAAAATTCACTTTGAGGGGCATACTGGGGTCTTCCTCAAAGACTTCAGTGGTTTCCCAAGCAGCTGAAACTGAGGTAAAATGAGAGAGCTCATGGAGCCCCTTTGGGGAACGAGATACCATGCATCACAGGATGTACAGAGATAGAAACAATCAGGGGTTTGAAGAGTGAGCGTGTGTGTTTGTGTATGTGGTAGACATGTGTGGGGAGGGGATTTTATGCATAATATGTACACTGTGCTGGTGTGTTGTGAATGATATGCATGATATATGTGTGGCTATGTGTATTGGTGGGTGTGACCTATGTAGTGTGCATTTATGTATTGTGTGCTAGTGTGTGTAGTTTATGTGTGGTGGGTGTGACATATGAGTATTTGTAAGATGCTGTGAGGTGGGTGAGTTTGTGGTATGTATTATGTGTGGCATGTGTGTGTGATTTATGTGATATACATGTACGGTGTATATATGGTATGTATAGTGTGAGGTGGTGTGTGCAATGTATATGTGGTGCATGTATATGGTATGTATTTGTGACATATATGGTTTATGTATGTATGTGTGTTGTGTGTGTGTTGTTTGTATGATATATATATATCATAGAGTCTGATATAAGCTGTGTGATGTGTGTGCACAACATACATGTGGTAATGCATAACATATTGTATGACATGTGTGGTATGTGTTTAATGGTGTCTGTATGTGTGGTGGGTGAGTGCATGGTATGTAGTGTGTGATGTGGGTGGTATATGTATATGTGTAATATACATACCATACACATGTGTTGGTATGCGTATTACACATACAAGGTGGCGTGTGTGAGTGGTGTATATGTGTGTGGTAACGAGGCATGTATATGTTATTTCTTGTGTAATGTGTATTTGGGATGTGTGTGTGCAACATGCGTGTATGGTATATGTATTGTGTGGTGTGCATGTGTGAAGTGTCTCTGTGTGTAACTGTGTTGTGAATGTACATGTATGCATGCAACATGCATGTGGTACATGTGTGGTATGTATCGTGTGGCATGTGGTGTGCGTGTGCATGATATGCATTGTGTGATGTGTGTGGTATACATGTGTGGTATGTATGTATTGTGGTGTGCACATGTGTGTATGTTATGCGTTGTGTGATGTGTGTGGTATAAGTTGTGCGGTGTGTGTATGGTATGTATTATGTGGTGTGTGTTTGTATACATGCGGTGTGTGTTCACATATGTGTGGGGTATGTGTGTGGAGTTCATGTGTATGTGGACACATACACTCCTAATTAAAAGTCACTTTTGAATTATCGATTGTTTCTTTGGGATCAAGCTGTTTTGCACAGTCAACTCAATGTGGCCTTCTCTGGGGTGAGTGGTGATGGAGTTAATTATTTAACGATGGTTAATGATTCTCTTGAGTGATACTGGGGAGGTCTATGCAAATCAATAGTAATTAGGGCTCCTCAGCACCAAGCCAGTGGCACAGGAGGCGCGGTCCCTGGCACCAGGTGCTGTGCTGGATGCTGGATGTGTTATTGTCACATCCTCACAAGGACCCAGCCAGCTAGGCATCATCCTATCCACCACCTGTCCTGCATACAGTAAACAACAGCTCAGAGAAAGTGATTGAAGTCAGTGAGTTAGTGGTAGGCTTGACTTTCAATCCTTTCCTTTTAATTGTAACCCCAAGGTTGTAGTAAGTTAATAAATTCCTATGAACTCACATTTCATACAAACAGAGGCTACTGGGTGCCCAACCTCTAGGTGAATATTTGGGGTCAGAGAAGAACCCTTCAGTGATATCCAAAGGCAAAGATTTCACAGGACTGGGGGATGTTCTGTACCTAGTACTGCACCCTCAAAGGTATCACTAACAAGACTAACAGGTGAGCAAGGTGTCGGCCCCAAGGGGCAAAAGGGCATAGCCTGGCTACCCCTCAACAGCATGGCGGATCGGATCGGCAACTCAGCTCAGTGAGCTCAGGCCAACTGGAATGACTCCTACCCCCGCACCGTTATCTGTCACGACCCCTTTGAGCCCTCTTACCTGCCGGCCTGCAGCACCCCAGAAATGCTGAAGAGTCCAAAGTCTGTGATCACCACTTTGCCATTGTCATAGAAGACGTTCTTGGACTTTAGGTCCTTGTGAAGGATACCCTTGGCGTGGAGGTAGCCCATGCCCTGCAAGAAGTAAGGGTCCAAGTAGAAGCCAGAAATGTACTCATGTCCCGGTCCCCTGCCCCGGCTGGGTTCCCAAGCCTTGCCTGGCAGTCCTCCCTCCCCGTGGACCACAGTCCACAGCAGTAGAGCCTGCAGCCCAAGTGCTCAGGAGTGGAGGTGGACGAAGAAGTTTGTTCTGAAGAAGGGGACAGGCAGGGGCCCACGTCACAAATCTTGCCCCTCCCCGCCATCTCAGGTGTCTCCATCCAGTTATCTGCTTTCTAAAACTGTCCCCCGAAGGAAAAGGGTGGGGACCAAATCTGGGAGCAGGTCCCCAGAGGAAATGGGTTCCTTTAATCCTCTTTGCCCACTTTCCTTTCTATGAATGGCTTCTTCCTAGAGCCTCGCTCTGTATGACCAACGTTAGTCCACAGTTCCTCTAGAAGAGGGTCATGAACCAATCATCAGCAACATGCAGAAGACGATTGGAAGTCCACCTCAAGGGTGAAAGTCTAGATTTGTTGTCTTTGCTTTTATGAATGATTGCAGTTTTATTTCTTCTGGCAGCTCAGCCCTACCACTTCCCATGGGAAAGAAAAGACTGAGTACAACTGACTAATGAGGCGCCCACCAGGGACACAGGATGTCTCCAGTTGTCTGACTCAAAGCCACCACCCAACAATTCAGTTTCCCTAGTGGCCACGGAGAGAGACTGGCATGCCACATGGGAGCACAACTCAGGGGAGCTACATGGAAAGGTCACAAACTTGTTGCGCTGGGGTGGCTTGCAACAGTTGCTGCCGGTTAACCCATGGATGCTTTAAATACCAGCAGGGTCACCATGGTGGGCAGCTTCCAGACTAAGACAGACTAGGAAAAAGGCCATGAGCTTGACTTCAAAAAATCAGCCAATGAAAACCTTATGGATCTCAACAGGACAGTGACTGACTTGCCTGCCTTGGACACATCACTGGGAGGAATCAGCTGCTGAAGGAGCATTGCATGTCTGTTGAAGGGGAGGGCAAGTCAGGCCAAGGGAGACTCTCGGTCAGATGACTGGCAAAACAGCCTCAACCAGGACGCGAACATGTGGGGGCTTAAGTGGATGAGGCATGACTGGGCAGTGTTTCATGTTGCTGTATGAGTCATACAAGAGTAGTCAATGCAACAGCAGCTCCCAAGAACAACAAGAGGGGTCAGGGGTCGTCAGCGGGAGCTGGGTGGTCCAAACATGTCCCTAGTCCATTCACTCATCTATCCAAGTACCATGGGGATGAGGCAGCACATGGAAGCTAAGGATAAACAGACCACTCTGGGTGGCTGTACTGCAGACACATTCTCACACACACTCGGGTCTTTTGCAGGCCAAGACTAGTTTCTTCGAAGCCTATATTGATGGTACCAGACCCGCAGTGTCCTGGGCTCCGTGGGCCCCTCAGGCAGGGGGCAGGGGTTTCCTGAAGTTCAACAAGGAGGGTCTACAGCTTCTAGTACCTTCACGATTTCTTGAGCGATCTGTCGTGTTTTGTTGACATCCAAGACGACCTTGGCGTCCCTCACCACAGAATAGAGTGTCCGTCCTTTACAGAGACTGAAAAACAAAAGGAGAAACCACAGTGGACATGCTGTGCCTACAAGATCACAGAGCTGGGGACAGACCTAAGATTGAGTGCAGGGATATGGGCCTGGGAGGTGATTCTGTTGGGTCCCTCAGGACCCGGCATCTAAGGACAGCCCAGAATTGAGCCAAGTCCAGAAATGGAAAGCTGAGCCAGCGTCACACAGGTGGAAAGCTGTGCCTAAACCAACAACTTGTAGGCCCCTCAGACACCACTCAGACAGCGTTCAGCAGGCCACTTGGGCCAGCTGCTTCCACTCGCTGAGAGCTGCCAGTATGGAGAGACTGTCAAGAAGGCCCAACAGAGCTGTGGCTGATGTGTACTTAGTATCATTAGCAGAGGACGCATTCAAGCCTATAGACAGGGTGCGTGAAGAAGTAAAAAGAACCCAGACGCTTATCTAGATAGAGCGTTTTTCAAACTATTTTCAGCCTCAATGACTTCACATCGAGGGCCAGTGGCTTGGGATGTGTGAGAAAGAAAAGGGATATATGTCCACAAGCGCATCTGTTCACTTCCTCCTCATGGAGTCCAATTCCCAGCCCACACAGAGCAGACACCCACAAACAGCCCTTAGATGAGGGAGTTCAGGAGAGAGGGAGGGAGAGAGGGGATGAATGAGGGAAAGAACGAGGTCAACATTCCATACCACCCTCAGCCCCCAGCACAGTGTGTGGCTCAGAGAATCAAATATTGGCTGAAAGAATGTCATTATGAAATACCACTTTTCATGCCCATCAAACTTGTTGTTAAGCGCCAATGAGTCTCCTCACAACAAAGAGCCTGACTTGTTTTTCTTTTAATCTATGACTTTATTGCTAAAATATTGTAGGTATTTTATTCATTCAGTTAAGTGTTTAAGTTCTTATGGTACACTAAGAAGCTCTGTGGCACTGAACGATAAGTACTGGGATACTAAGCGAAAAGTCGGCAGTCCACACCCACCGGGAGAAAGATGAGGCCTTCTGCTCCCGTCAAGACTTCCAGCTTTGGAAACCCTAAGCAGGGTCACTATGTACTAGACTTCTCTGAGGTGGTATTTCCTGATGGTTACAGCTTGAACTCTGCTCTCAGAGGAACCTCAATGTTCACACCAGTTCCAGTCCTTACTGTGTCTTTGGGTAGGCCACTTAATGTCTCTGGGCCTGAGTTTTCATCTACAAAAGGGAAGTAATGAGGCTTACTTTGTAAATCTAATATTAGGATTGGATAAGATGAAGAGACTGGTCCAGTTATCTGGCACCCGGTGGGAAGTACAACATGGTGGTTAGGGGGACGAGAGTCTAGAGTAGGACTCTGTGGATTAGAATCCTGGTAGCAACTATATGATCCAGGGCAAGGAAGTTAATCTCTCTGAGCCTCAGTTTCATTCTCTGAAAAATGGGGCCAACAGTATATACCTCACAATGTGCAAAGAACCAATTCATGCCTAACACATAGTAAGTACTCAGTCCTGGTGTGGTGCTACAGGATAAGCACAGGACTACTAACTGCAAGGCAGGTGGTTCAAACCCACCCGTTGCTCCTTGGAAACCCTCTACAGGGTTTCCACTTAACCACATGAGAAGGAGGAAGAGATGATAAACTGAGGAACATATACACCTGTGCAAAGAGACCCACTCCTCATTTACCGACAATCTTGTTAGCTGACATTCAGCATTTATGACAATAGCAGAAATGATGGCGCAGTAACAACACACATTTGGCCGTGATGAACACTGACATGGGAGGTGAGAATACTACAGGCTGTGGCCGTTGAGGTTATGTGCCTAGTTGGCTGGGCCCTGAGTCTCAGTAACTTGACAATTATATAATGATGTAATTTAGTAATTATGTAATAATGTAGGAGTCATCTTCCGTTTTGTGATCTTATGTGGTCATCCTCCATTTTTTAAATAATGCTGGATTTCTGCATAACAATTCGGTCTTTAGGATCTAACCGTGTTGATGGGTGAGGACTGGGTGTATACAAGGGGACTTCAAAAAGTTTGAGGAAGAATGGAATTAAGATAATGGGATTTTTTTCCAGGAACTTTTTGAAACCCCGTTGTATATAAATAGTATATTTATAGACACACCATGTCTATCTGTCTCTCCATCTACTCACTCATCCATTCATCCACTCATCTACCCAACTATTACTCCATCCCTCTACTCACACACCCACATACCCATTCTATACCACATACCATAGTCTGTAACCGCCTATGAACTTTAACTAAGATTTGCTTGTTCACCTGCTTAGGTGAGATTCCTGGGCTCAGTGGCTCACAGGGTGTGTGACTCACCAGCTCCAGGTCACCCAGTACACAGGTGGGAAGCAGCCCACAGTGACTGAAGGCTGTCCGCAGCGCTGGTCCCAGTTGCTTCTTTGCTGTGACTGGTGGAGAAGCTGTGGAAGGAGGGTGGGCTGCACAGCCAATTAAGCCACACTGACATTTAAGCACTGGAGATGTGGAGACCGTGGGAGGATTCTCTCCCCTGCAAACTGTACTCTTAACCAGCTACCTACACTCATTAGAGACCAGAGCCCAGAACAAACCACCCCCACTGCAGACAGTGAAGCACAGAATCACCACAGCTTCCAAAACTCCACTCAGGGGAAGCACATCAAAAGTGCAAAGGTGCGGGCTTCCAAAACCCAGCCCCATGTCTGTCTCTGCTCTTCTCCGCCCACCTCTCCAGCAACAGTTGCTGGTCTCCGCTTCTCTCCGTCCTTAGGGCCTCTGGAGATGTGGGCAGAACTGATTCTGGCTGCGGGGAGTGTAAACTGGGAACCCCATTTTGGAAGACAGAAACTAGTTAATTCTGAGTCATAGTGACCCCCTGTGTGTCTGAGGGGGACTATGCTCCACGGGGTTTTCTGTGACTGATTTTTTGGGGAAGTAGATCACCAAACCTTTATTCTAAGGTGCCTGTGAGTGAAGTCGAACCTACAATTGAAGGTTAACAAGCAATTGTGTTAGCTGTTTACACCCCCAGGGACTCCCTGACACTCAAGTGTACAAAATGCGTGGTGCTGTAGGATAAGCACTAGACAAAAGGTTCATTTGAACCACAAGGCTGGTGGCTCAAAGTATTCAGTCACTTCTCAGAAACCCTACACAGAGCCTCTAGGAGTCAGAAACAACTCAAGGGCACTTAACAACAACAACAACATACCAATAACCCATGATCAGAAATTCCTCTTCTAGGTATATACCCAACCGACATGCACACTCACAGCCACCCAAAGACACGTACGAGAAAGTTAATGTAGCCGATTCAACCTATCCTCACACCAGAAGCAATTAAAAAGTGAATAAACCGTGATGTATCCACATAAGATATATATATGTATAATATAATAATGAACAAATTACAGCTCACTGAAATAAAAAGACAAAGATGAATCTTATACGCATAACGCTGAGCCACAGAAACCAGACACAGCAGACCACAAACCAGAAGATTCCATTTCTTTATAGACAGCACGGGAGTGCACAAAGTCATCTCTGGGCTACAAATGAGCAGATCCATGAGTGTTTGGTGGGGAGGGGCTGGGACTGTGAAGGCCTGCTTCCTGACGTGGGGGCTGGTTCTACAGATGTGTACAGTTCATGCTATTACCCTTCACTGCCCAGCGGATTCCTGCTCAGAGATCCTGCCAAACAGAAGTCCAGAGGACTTCTGAAGCTGTGAATCTTCCTAGGAACAGACAGCCTCATCTTGCTCCAGTGGAGGAGCTTTGAACTGCCAAACTTTTGGTTAGCAGCTGGGCTGAGGGCTTGACTACGGTGCCACCAGGGTGCCTTTTAGTGACATTGGTATTATTGTTTGCTGGGAAACAGGGATAATAAGAACAATAAAAGCTTTCTATGTGCCAGGCACTAACCTATGCACAAGAACCTCAGGGTGTGAGTGTCAGCGCTGGTCTTCAGTGAGTCAAAGACACACATTTCCTGGCATTTTCACATTTCTGAAATCAGAATGTGTCTTGCAATGTCTGGTAGGTCAGGGATTAATTGATAGTGCTTTGTTCTTTCTTTGCAGGACATAAAAGGCATGGTGCATAGTCCAATTGATGGCATCTTAGATTTAAAGAAATGTGAAGGAGCTTCAAAAATTTTGTGGAAAAAAATGGAATTAAAAAACAATGGGGAAGAACAAACAAGACGGTGGATCAGGTGGACGTATAGCAAAGAGCTCCGCCAACAACAACACAGAATACCCGACCAAGCAGGCTCAGGGGAGGGTCCCAGAACTCTGAACAACATATAAAGGAATACTTAGAAAGTTGGAAGACTCACAGCTGAGGGAATTTGTGGCAGAAGAAAGAAATCTATTGTTTTCTAGTCTGGGATGCTTGGCTGCTCCAGGAGCCGCCATCTTGGGTGAGACCACATTGAGGAAGGAATACTTAGAAAGTTGGGAGACTCACAGCTGGGGGAATTTGTGGCAGAAGAAAGAAATCTATTGTTTTCTAGTCCGGGATGCTTGGCTGCTCCAGGAGCCGCCATCTTGGGTGAGACCACATTGAGGAAGGATCTGAGCGGCCACAGACCGCTGTCAGAACCGCTGAGATAAAGGTGTGGACATTCTTTTCTTTTGGTATCTGTTCATTGGTCCCTTGCTGTCTGCGCACCTCCATTCTGGTGACTATAGGG